TACGATTGTTGATTACTCACTAATTAAAAAGTGGCCGCAATTTGGAAACGCAGAATCATAGAAAATTACTCGTTCCAAATTGCGTCCACTTTTATACTAATTGGCTTAAATTTCGGCCGCATTTAGGAAGTAGCCCCATGTGTGGCAGTGGGATAAAAGAAGATAGCAATCATAGGGCCTTAAGGCATAAACCGCCCAGTACGTTTGATAAAGTGCAGTATTTCTGAAAAGACTTTAATTAATTGCTCAACTGACAGTTGTAAAAACGATGTTACTCATTATGAACATCAACGCGAAGGTGACAATTTTTTCCGGTGAATTTACTTTCATATCTAAATATGGTCTTATGTCAAATTATTCGTGGAATACAGTCGTTCGAAATGAATTGTGTACTCAACGAAAGAAAGTGGTTTGAACATTTGATGAATAGGATAATCGTTTGTGAATTATTTGAAGTCTATCTTAGAATGAGAATATGGATGGTGCCATTAAAAAAAAGTATAAAATATTGTGTGAATTATATCGAATTGAAAATTTCGCAATAGAGTCAATGTTTGCCTACATTGACAGATTTTTAAATCTAATCTATTAATAGCAATTCGTGTATTCCTTAGAGAAAAATAAAAGACATACAAATGAAAATCAATTAATTTCAAGGTCTACATTGTTGTAATTCACATGTTTATATTCTGACGATCAATAACCTCTACAAAATGCGGCATTAATACTCCTAGGGCGACTGTATCAGATAAGGACTAGTCACCACATAATTTCAGTTAAGTTTGAAATCTTTTTCAATAAACAAGTCGTCACGGTAATGTTGTTAGCGGTGCTGTCGTTCACGGTAGTGTCGCTGTATCGATTAAAATTACAGATTTTGTAGAGAATTCAATCCTGTATCGATTGACCTTAAAAAGAACTCTTGGAACTACTGGACGGTACCTCAAAAACAAGGAACAAACGTGGCCGGTCTTATCTGAAATTTAATCAGCAATTAATTATGAATGAACCTGATACTTTTACCCGTATTACAAGTGACCAAGGTTCACGAATATCAAACGGAAATACGGTGAAGGTCTCAATCAAATGCGAGTTAATTTTGCTTAAATATGATTTATAATTTAGCGACTAGTCAGTTTTGTGCTTGTGGTAAAAGTAAAACTATTAAGATTTTCTCTTGGACACTATCAGCATATTCACCGAAAATTAAAAAAGATTGGTATAGTACTGCCCCGGAGCGACCTTTCACACTAAACAATATCCTGTTTCTAGACAAATTCAAAAATACTGAGGATTCGAAACTATTGGGCCATCTAGAAATTGATCATTGAATACATCAGAAACATGCTACGTTTCTGATTCCATCACTACCACTTATCAATCTCACTATTTCTTTCAGTTCCACTCGTACTCACATGCTTCTATATTTTTCTTTTTCACTGTATTCTCTAGCTGTTTATTTGTTTTCTTACTCTTTTGGTGTTTATCTTTCTGAGTGCGTATAGCATCGTCATCACGGGCAGAAAATGATATCATAGGCTTCTTTTTTTCTTCTGTCTTTAAATTATATACTTGTCAATAAAATACAGCTTATAAAAAGAAAAAAACACATCCGAATTATCCTTTATTACTGTACCAATTATCGTTTACTGGTGCCTACAATAATGGCGCTATTGCTTATCTGCGCATATGTTTTTCTTCTGTGAAAGAAACAAAAAAGTATGTTTAAATGTCAATGAACTGCTGTGCTTATGCGGTATTTTTCTGTGAGGTTTAAGAACAGCAGCATCTCGTGACATGACCACTGACTTTCATCCTTCATTGTGTTGCATGTAAATAGAAAACAATGATTGTTATGTGCCTGTTTTTTTCTTATTTTTCTAGTGCAAGACAACTGTACATTCACTAAGATCTTTTATTCGTTCAGTCTCCGTTCATCAAGTGCTAAAGTGAGTATCTATTATACACATACTACTATTTTTCTATCATTTTCAGGAAGTTACACATCCAGTGTAACACGTTTTATTAGCAGATGTTTACATGAATATTATTTTGGCGATATTGATCTCAACTATTTGATTGGGAACTTGCTAAACATAAACATAGACGAAAAATTACGATTTTCATTCACACTTAAAAAGATACTGTACGTTGATAGTTGACACACAATTGTTCTTAAATACTTTAACACAGTATGATACATCGGGTTCCAGACAGGATGCCACAATTTTTTCCACACAATATTTTTCGAGAGAACTCGTGGAAAATAAGATTAATTCATTGTCTATTATATCCAAAAAGAAAAGAATCCAAGGTGAAAGCAAAGAGGGTTAGTACTACTATAATGTTACTAACGTGAGGAAAAAGAGAAAAAAGAAAGAACGAAGCAAACCTACCTGTAGTTTTATTTTGTTTTTTATAAAACACACTTAGCTTAGAGAGACACACAAAAGTTTATTTTAAAGCTGTTACGAGTGTCTGAAAGGCATGGCTGGTGAGTGTAGTTTAACGACACATGCTTTCACTGTTAGTGTCGAAAGTTTAGTAGCAATCGCTGTTGGTATTGTCGTTGTCATTTATGTCATTGAATAGATTCAGTTTTCACTGAAATACTCACGAAGCCAATCATTATGATCAGTTGCTTGTTCAGTTATCTGAAATGGATTCCACCCTAATCCGATACAAATTAGTTTCAATTCAATTTATTTATTTTATATGATAGAGCAGTTTCTTTTCATGTTTATACCGTCTCATTTCGTTTGATAATTCTGGTCCTAATAGCTTCGAGTGGGGATCACGATAAAGGGGTGCGCCAGAGAGCTGTAACCGTACACAATATTACCCAAACAATGTTGAGACTGTAATAGTGCAATGAAGTAGGTTCTCCGATAAGCTTTTTTTAATGATATGTTTGAACAATTTTTGGTACTTCCTTCAATTTTTCCAAATCTTGAATTTTTTTCCCGTTACCACCTCTTCGTTTTGGAACCAAGTCAGAATAATGTAATTTTAACGAAGTAGTAATACTGTAGAGTGCAAAATGTGAGAGGAAAACTGATCATAAATAGCAGAATAGAAAAGAAAGCAGTGAGAACTATTGACAGACTCGTTTATCCACAGGATTTTTCTAGAAGATGGAATAGTGGCATGAAAAGTTTAGAAAAAATATTAGAATTTTCCATAGATGTGTTCAGAGATTTATATATTGTTATTATTCTAGTACCACTCTTTTCTCGATATTGTAATTTAGTTGACACTAGAATATTTTTCTTATGAAGCATTTCGACTAGTCTTTTCAACTGTCAATTGAACAACTTCTTCTCAATTTTTGGTTAAAATATCTTTATCATTTTGACATGTAAGTTATTAATCGATCGCAATATAATTTTTGGATGTGCTCGTATGTATTCTCGATTTGATATTTTATGGAATTCATTACAAAATTATTTAACAAAATCCACTTGCTTTCGACTTAAATCCAAATGAGATTGTCATGCATGTCTTTGGTCTAAAGTAAATGGATTATTTTTCGTGCCGGAGATAGAAAGTTCGAGTAAGATATTTTTTTCCCATTTATTTATACATAGTTGGATAGAGCGCCTCGAGTTGAATGGGAAAACGCAGTGTTTAAGAAGGAAAAATTGAAAAATTCGAAGAGTCTAAAATTCAACCGTGTATAAATAAATGCAAAAGAAGCTTTTATTCCAACTTTCTATCTCCGGCACCGTACGACTAAATCTTCCGCGTCAATTCTATTCACATTTAAATATTTAATTGTTGCTGATATTGCTGGCATTTTTTTAAATAAAAATGTATTGAAAAGCAATAAACAATGTTTTAATCTTGTTAACAAAAAGTAGACATTGTTTTTCACAACTGAATCATTGGTTATTTTGCCTCGTCGTATAATCCAAGGCGTCCTACCGCCGTTAATATTTGAAAAACCCAGTACCAAGTTGGAGAGAGGGATTAGGGCTGTGTGAATATATATTTTTTTCTTTAGTATATCGTCACATGCGAAAAGAAAAAAAAGAACGGTCGTCACGAAATTTCGCCTTTATCTTTTTCAAGTGCAATAGTCTTCATCTATGCACAAAATGACAATCAAGTAAAAATTTCAAAATACACATTAATCTACTCAGTTTTTGATCCCGATTCCGAATATACTATGTTTATTGGATAAAAGTTAAGTTCCAATAGAGAAAATTGAGAACTACCGGCAGAATTCTGATTTCTTCACCTCTGATTGAGAAAAATTGAATTTTTTCAGCAACGGAAAGGAATCTCAAAAACAGCTCTCGATATTTATTATTTACCATATTTATTATTTTTGCCCATGCAAAGATGAATCGAAAACAGTGCAAATGACTGTTCAGTCCTAGATAGGTTTGCAAAAACGTTGGTACACCTCAAGCTATATGAGTAAATAAATTTTTAATTTGATCATATTATATGTGAGAAACCTCTAAATATAAAAATGCGAGAAACCACCACTACCAACTATAAAGATTTTAGCACAGGACTAGTCGATGACTTTATGTGCTTAGCTGTATTTCTGGTGTTTTTCAAGTACATTTCTGTTGGATCGTAGATTTATAAAACAATTCGAAAAAATATTAAGTTTAGTTTTTCAATATTTTTCATTTTGACTTAACGATAGTAACTTATTCTGGAAGTTTCAGGCGAGAACATAGCATTTTTAATTGATCGAACAATTACTTGTTCAGTTAAACGGAAAGATAATAGGAAAAGAAGTACTTTTTTACTTAAAAATAAGTTTGAATAAATATTTGAACGAGAAAGATACAAAATAAAGCGTGTTCTATTTAAAGACTACATCAGTTCCGGAGTACCAACAAAGACAGGACCAAACTGCACTCGGGATCATATAAAAAATATCCGCGAGCTACATTCAGTTTCAGAGAAGAGATTTTCAGTTTATAAATAGAGTTTTTAAAAAGAATTATATAGTAAAGTAATTCATAAAATACCTAATCAAACTACTGTAGTTGTTTCTTCATTGCATAATCACATCGGCCACAAAGATTACCAGGCTGATATTGCACGAACCCGACCTTTTTATACATATCATTCGCCTTGTACAACAAAAAATTCGATTCTAATGTCATTTCTTTATATCCCAACCCTTTTGCTTTCTCCAGTGAACTTTCCAACAACATTTTCCCCAGTCCTTGTCCCTGATAGTTATTCAAAACGTACATTTTTCTCAGTTCACAGCTTGTTGCATCCGTTTTAAATACGCCACAGCAACCAATAATCGTATCCTCATCATTGGTTATTACTGAGAACCAACCATTATTATTAAAGTAATATTTATCCAGATCAGACAGATCTTTATCTATTCCTTCAGGATCAATGGATAAGCCAAAATCCTTCAATACTTCTGCCACGAGCTCCAGTATCTGCCTTTCATCTTTACGTTCGGCTTTTCGTAATATAGATTTCATATAACTAATGTCTGAAAAAAATATTTTCAGAAGTATGATAATGCGAAACTGAAATGGGAGCATGACTGTAAAGCTGGTTTTCCGCTCACGTTCTCCCATTTGTATACAGCCATCAGCTGACAAGACCAGACTATATGCATACTGTAGCGTGCGTTGAATTACTTAGAAATGTATATGTCTTTTAAAACTTTTCGTGCTGTTCTTGGGAGCCGCAGGCGAAGATGTTCTGTTCTCATTAGGGGGCTCAATGACGTTCAGTTCCACTTTTGAAACATTCCAAATTTTCTTCGAGTTAACCGTTGCATAGATCTTAAACAGTTGTAGTTATGATATTTTGTCGAGTTTTCAAAAATGTATTAGACCAATTTTTGAATTTAGCTCCGGTTTCGATTATTTATGGCTGTTATCAGGCACAAAAATATTAGATTTATGGGATATCCGATGGGGAAAGCGCAGTCTCACAGCATTAAGTGTTTTGAAATGGTAAAGGATAGAATTATACACACTATAAGACAATACAGTTTTGACCATCACTGTAAAGAAACGTGTATCAATACTAATACTCTCGAATGCTGGCAATAATCATTCAGAAGGTTTCTAGATTAAGTTAAAAAAATCCTTGAAATTGACTTAGGCTGATTGTGTGAATTCCCATGGAGCAACTACAGTCATAAACTTACTGACCGTTTAGCTACTTACATTAGTTACTATGTGACAAGGTGACAGTCTTTTTTAAACGTAAACGTACAAATGAAGAATTATGTTAGCAATATTGACACATTTCATTTCTTATCTTATCTCAGAACCCATTATTTTTATTCTCATCAAACAATGTAACTTGAAAGTATGACTTCTTGTGTTTCATAGATCGATACCCGCATATCGAATCTTACAAAGTGCGATATAAGCCAGTATCGTTCATCTGCCATTCACTGAGCCCCGCCAAGAAGAGCTTGTCTCAGATAGTTTAAAGGCCAATTCATTATTCTGTGAACAAAGGTCATTTTGGATATATGAAAATTGTCCCAAAGGAGTAGGCGGGTTTGCTGCTAAACGCAGAAAGGGAAAATGTCGAAAAAAAAGTAGTAAAACGTCCAAAAGGAAAACATATACATAGAAAACACCGAAAGACTTGATGTCGAATTGGAAAGATGGTCAGAAGGAAAAGATCGATTGGGAAAATGTCGACAGATATTTTTGTTGTTATTATACTAGATAAAAAAAATTTCAATTAAATCACAGAGAAAAGAAAAACGAACGTAAATGTCAGTTTCTGATCTCAGTTTTTTGGTCCGGCGAGTAACAATCCAAAGCCGTGTAATAGCTGCTTTGCATTGATTTGATTTTTACCCCTCACCCTCACTATAAACTTTCCCTTCCAAATCAAAGTAGAGAGCGAACACAAGGGAAAAGATCTATTTTCTTCTATAGTTACATGTGTGGCAATGCCTACATTGCGATATCTTTTGAAGAAAGAGATAATTCCTTATTTGCTAGTTCTCTAATGTAAAGTCGTAGAATGATTGGATTAAATACTGTCTACATAGACGATCATCCTCGATGGAGAAAGTTTACTCGACGAAGATAAAGGAATGATTCTCTTCTAGTAACAACCAATAATTTTTATTTAATTTTTATCAAATCTCGATTTAAGAGTTTCAAATGTTCGTTGAAATGCAGTTGTTCGACCAGATTCTTTTGGAGGCGTCGCACCAGCATTCAATTGTGTAATTAAATGTTCACAGCGAGCATTTTCATTTTGTATCAGCTGAATAAATGTCCAAACATTTGGATGCCGTTTCGCCAATCGAGATCCAAATCGACGGTTCTAGGCTATTTTCAAAGCACAAAGAATCGAAAATATTCCGAAGGAACATCAAATGCTCATGTCATTACCTTCCGAAATGTTATTGGTGCGATGATTGAGCTCATAGAAATTCCACATTGACAATGGAATGTTTCGCTTGATCCATTGACGATCAATATAGTTACACGTGTGGCGATGCCTACATTGCGATATCTTTTGAAGAAAGAGATCACTCCTTATTTGCTAGTTCGCTAATGTAAAGTCGTAGAATGACTGGATTAACTGTCTACATAGACGATCACCCTCGATGGAGAAAGTTCACTCGACGAAGATAAAGGAATGATTCTGTTCTAGTAACAACCAATAACAACTGTGAAGATAAAATAACATAAGATATAGATATCTTTCATCTACATTTGACTTTCGCTATTATCCCTTCGATGTTTTCCTGTTAATTCTCTTTCTTATCCAACACTGTTTCGCGATCGACATTTTCCTTCTCATTGATTAAACATTCGCTATTTGTCTTTTCGACCTTTTCCTAATTTTTGTCGACATTTTTCCTGTTCGACATTTTACTCTTCTACGTTTTCCGCCAATACCCTCAGGAACATTTCCAGACGCTTAATTTCCAAAAATCTCTTGAACAAGTTTTTGGAGCTTGAGCGGCTTCTCCGGCCAATGGCCTCCATATTTTGCTCTGTTTCGAAAAGTTATTGCAATAAGCTAAACCCTAATCTGAAATGGCAACTAGATGATTAATTAGATTAAACATTTCTCTACAAAATGAAAGTGTCTCGGCTCTAAATGTTGATTCGTTATGAAAATACAGCTGTTGTACAAACAGCACCAAAAATCGATTTTTAGGCTATCTGAAAAGAGTGCAGACGAGCTGGTAAACATTGAACAAGTATACCTGTTTGTAGAAAATTGTTCGCTCCACAACATGTGATAGCTTATCAAGCTCGAAACTATTCTAATTAATCTGTATTAATCAAAGAAAAACCAGAAAAA